GGAGAAGCACTTCTCCGGGAGCAACCCAAGGGCCCGCCCGTCAAATGTTCCCTCCCTCTTGCTCTCGCCCGGCTCCCCCAGCGAGCTTCCGAAGCCACCGCCGCTCAGCTGGGTGAAAATGCAGGCGGTGGCTTAGGAAGGACCGCGGGGGAGGGTTGCCTCCCTCGCTGTTCTCCCAAAGGCCCCATGTTTGCACAGCTGATCGGCGGTTCCAAAATGACCGCTTGCTGTGTTGCCTCGCTTTAGAGGCACCAAAAATGGCCGCTCCTATGGAGGATCTTCGTATAACTGTGAGTTTTCCCCCCATAGGAACGCATTAAACAGGGTTTAATGCGTTCCTATGGGGTTTTTTGCCCCATATAGCGACGAATCCGGATAGCGACGATTTATCCGGAACGGATTATCGTCACTATGCGGGGCACCACTGTATGTGGACCGAGAACTCCCAAAAGTACCAGCTGAATTTCGAAGGGGCAAAGGAACTAGAGACCAAATTGCTAACATACTCTGGATTATGGAGAAAGCCAGAGACTTCCAGAAAAACATCTAGTTCTGCTTCATAGACTACCCAAAAGCCTTTGACTGTGTGCACCACAGCAAACTATGGCAAGTGCTTAAAGAAATGGGAGTGCCTCACCACCTTATCTATCTCCTAAGAAATCTATATGTGTGACAGAAAGCAACAGTTACGTAGAACTGGATATGGAACAACTAATATGTTCAAAATTGGGAAATGAGTATGACTAGGCTGTATATTGTCCCCCAGCTTATTTAACTTATATGCAGAATACATCGTGAGAAAGGCAGGACTGGAAGAATCCGAAGCAGGAATTAAGATTGCTGGAAGAAATATCAACAACTTCAAATATGCAGATGATACCACTCTGATGTCAGAAAGTGAGGAGGAATTAAAGAACCTCTTAATGAGGGTGAAAGTGGAGAGCGCCAAAAATGGTCCGAAGACCAACATAAAAAACTAAGATCAAGGCCACTGGTCCTGGCAAATAGAAGGGGAAAAATGGTTCAAAGCCCAACATAAAAAACTAAGATCAAAGCCACTGGTCCTGGCAAATAGAAGGGGAAGATATGGAGGCAGTGGCAGACTTTACTTTCTTGGACTCCATAATCACTGCAGATAGTGATAGCAAACACGAATTTAAAAGATGCCTGCTTCCTGGGAGGAAAGCGATGACAAACTTAGACAGCATCTTAAAAAGCACAGACATCAAAAGTCTGCATAGTCAAAGCTATGGTTTTTCCAGTAGCAATGTATGGAAGTGAGAGTTGAACCGTAAAGGCTGACCGCTGAAGAATTAATGCTTTTGAGTTGTGGTGCTAGAGGAGGGTCTTGAGAGTCCCCTGGACTGCAAGGAAAACAAACCTATCCATCCTGAAGGAAATCAATCCTGAGTGCTCCCTGGAATGACAGATCCTGAAGCTGAGGCTCCAATACTTTGGCCATCTCATGAGAAGAGAAGACTCCCTGAAAAAGACCCTGATGTTGGGAAAGTGTGAAGGCAAGAGGAGAAGGGGACGACAGAGGACGAGATGGCTGGACAGTGTCATCGAAGCTACCAACATGAATTGACCCAACTCTGGGAGGCAGTGGAAGACAGGAGGACCTGGAGTGCTCTGGTCCATGGGGCTATGAAGAGTTTGCCATGACTTAACAACTAAAAAACAACATATGCTCCAATGGAGGCCAAGTGATTTAAATTTCTACCCAGAGCACTAACAACTGTTCAGTTGACCTAATCACACTTCATCATACAATAATTTCCTAAATAACTTTAGGCAGTCAAAGGAAGGTGTCTTCCCCTGTAAAGTAGGGTAAATTTGATTTAAGTAACTATTTAATTTTTAAAAATTGATTTTAAATTTAAATCGGATTCAAATCATGATTTAAATCAATTTGATTTTAAAAAAAATCATTGATTAATGAGAATAAAAGGCAACCTTGGAGATGCAATGACATTTTTATATCACTATTACTTTTCAGTACTATTGCAGTGAATTTTGTATGAATACATTTTGGCTGAGCCTCAGAATGGATGACTAGCTGAACCTGAAACATAAAAGAACTGATGAGGTTGATGAGGTTTATCCTGTTCAAAGCAAAATGAAGCACCTTCCAGTCATCTTAAAAAGGATCAGCATTATAGCAAGGAGTATCTGTTGATTGGCTTCATGTGTACAGGTCTCAAAGATAAGCAAGTACCTCAGTGTGTGTTGTGTTACTAGATATTGTCCAACGAGGCCATGAAACCATCAAAATTGCAAAGACATCTCAATACGAAACAAAGAACATGCAACAAAGAGCATCGAGCTTTTCAAAAGTAAGGAACATGAGCTTTGGGAAAGTAGGAAAATGGTAAAAAAGACTGCAACTGCTTGTAACAACAAAAATGCAGTAAGGGACTCATTTCATGTTTCTCAACTAACAGCAAAAACTGGAAAACCACATTCAATGGATATAGAACTTATATTACCTGCTGTAAAAATCATGATTTCTGCATTGATCAATGAGAAAGCTGCCATAGAACTTTCATTAATACCTTTGTCAAATGGCACAGTTAAGAAGCTAATCAATGGTTTGTCAGTCAATAGCAAATAACAAATATTAAAAAGAATTCACATGTCCTCCTACTTTGTACTACAAATGGATGAAAGCACAGGCATAAGAAAGCAACCTTACTGTGCTACGTTAGATATAAGCATGAGATAAATGTTTTCGAAGACATACTGTTCATCTCCTCGTTGGTACACACTACAACTGAAGAAGTACTTAAATAGCTTAAATTAGATTGCAACATCTCATAATATGGATTGATTGAAGTGTGTTGAAGACCCTTCATAAGAAAACTTTAAATAAATATATGATGCACTTTAGAGTTTTAAATATTGAGTTAAGTCTTGGTGACCCGTGGCAACTGAATATATTTAAAGGGTTCTATGATAAAAGGTTAAGAACTGCTGATTTATATTATTTATATGTCACTTTTCTCCCTGAACCTAAGGCAGCTCACAATTACCAACACTATAAAACAATTAACAGTTTTCAAAGTACTACAGTGGACCCTCGACTTACGGAATTAATCCGTATTTGACCCGTGGCCGCAGGTTGAAAATTCCGTAGGTTGAGGGTCCATTTCCCATAGGAATGCATTGAAAACCATTTAATTCGTTCCAGCCAGAGGAAAAAAAATCTGGGGCTTCCAAAGCTGCACCCGCTGCCCTCTGCCTTCTGTCCCCACTGTCCTCTGCCTCCCGTCCCCGCGGGGACAGGAGGCAGAGGGCACCGGGGACAGGAAGCAAGAGGCCAGTGGGTCCAGCTTTCTAAGCCCCGAAAGCCCAAAGCAGACAGCGGGCACAGAGCGGTTTTCGGCTTTCCGGCCTCCTTTGGAAGGCGGAAAGCCAAAAGCCGCTCTGCACCCGCTGTCAGCTTTGGGCTTTTGCAGCTTAGAAAGCTCAAAGCTGACAGTGGGCACGACCTGCAGCCTACGGACTGGAAGGGGGAGGCGGGGAAAGCGCAAAATTTGGCTTCTCACAGCAGCACATTCCAAAGCCTAGAAGCAACTACTGAGAAGGCCCCCTTTTGTATCCTCACCAAATTTGCTCGGGAACCAAGATCCTTCCCAGATGATCTTAAAAGCTGAGAAGTCTCATCTGGGGTTGTATGATCATTCAAATAGGTTTGATCTAAGCTATGATAGCCAGCACTTTGAATTTGGCTTAGAAACAGACCGGCAGCAAAAAAACAAAAGCAAAGCATGCTGCTTATATAGCATGTCAGAGTGCTTAAAGCACTCTTTGGGGCAGCTCACTGGGGGGGCTCCCACTGCAAGCTGGGTACTCGTTTTATTGATCTCGGAAGGATGGAAGGCTGAATGACTAAAACTATGTTCTTGCAAGCATCACAGAGAGATGTAAAATAGATCTGAAGCAGCCAGCTTAGGAAGGTAACATGCAACTCAAGACACGTTGCAACTATCTTACCTAACTGTAATATCATGATGGTGTCATTTAAGGCCCGAGTCACTAGACTGAAGTGTCTGTAGAGAGGGTAACACAGCACTCTTCTTCCAAAGGATATCAGGACTTCAGAGATGGCAGTAAAAGTCTGTATTTCAAGAAAAGAATAAAGTAAGAGGACAACACATATTTATTTCAAAAGCAAGCAAGACACTGGCTGTGAAATTCTCACTCTGTTCAATACTGCACTGCAATAAACTACTAACAGTTTATCAGATACAGTACATCGATTGATTTAACTTGTATTAGCTAAGAAACGCTTATCTTACCTCCAGCCAGCACAAAGTTGAACTCAGTTTTCGTATATTCCATGGTGATTCAACCTGGTTCATTAAGGACATAAGTACATTAGAACACAATGTTTCATTAAAACAAAGAAACTATTCTCATAGAATTGAAAAACAAATACTGCAACATATGAGATATTACAATTGTAAAACGATAAGACTTAAATGTTTTGGGGGAAAATTTAAGACACAGCTTTTTTAAGACTCAAGGAATTCAGGATTTCTGTGAAAGTTACAGACACATCCAATTGCAATTCTTTCCTAAATGGCTACTAAAATTTATGAAGTCTGGAATATTCAATCAATTCTGCATCTTTCTTTATAGATACCTAAAGTTTTAAAGTTAAGATTTTTTTAAAAAATAACAACACAATAACACAAAGACAAAAAGATAAAAGCTAACTAAGAAGGGTTTCGTGCATGTACTTATACATTAAAAGAGGACGGTAAAGAAACCAAGTTCACTTTAGAGAAAATAATTCTAACACTTTGCACAGCTAGAATAATATAAAAGCAGCTATAGCCATGCCATATTTAGTTTGCGGGGCACTGCGGTATGACAAACGTCTTATAGAACAGTGCCCTACCATCGCTTTTGCTCCTGGAACTTTTGTCACCTATCAATTACAGGTCCTTTAATTTTGTTCTCCATCTGTGCACTGTAAACATTTCTTTAAAGCCTGCAATCTGCTTTCAACTCCTAATCTTACCTGTTTATTCATACCTGTATTCTGAGAAATTCACCTCTGGTAATTATCCAGTGCTATCTTAAACCTTATCTTACCCAAACATAACACTTTTAACACTAGTCATCACTTTCCAGGGATCCAGTTCCAGGCAGCTCAAAACAAACATTCACAGGGATATAACAGACACATTCATGTAATTCTTTAAAGCTTCAATTTGTCTAAGATAGGATCCAGAAGACCGTGTGCCTCCTACCTTAAGAAGAATGATTCTCAACAAATAAGCTTGTTGACACAGAAGAATTTTTTAAAATGATATATTGAAGTGCCGTGGAAAATACAGTGGGGTCTTGACTTGAGAACTTAATCCGTATTGGAAGGCGGTTCTCAAGTCAAAAAGTTCGCAGGTCGAATCTGCATTTCCCATAGAAATGCATTGAAAACCATTTGATCAGTATCTGCTCTCTTCCGTCCATAGAAACTAAAGGGAAGCTGCTATTCCACCTTCGACCACTAGAGGGGGATATTTTGTTTCTTTTTTCCTTAGGTCAAGAAAGGTTCAGGGAAGGCAGGGAAAAGACAGTCCAGGCAGTACCAGGCAGTCTGAAGACTCCCAATCTACTCTCTAAACGCTGGGAGGAGTGAGGAAGCAGACAGGCACCCTTTTCCCTGGCCAACAGTTAACTGAAAGTTCCAATTTTGCACTTTCCCTGCCTCCCACGTGGGTTTGTTTTTCAGTTCGTAACTCAAATCTAAGTACGTAAGTCAAGTCAATATTTTCCTATGAGAGCGGTTCGTAAGTCAAAATGTTCATAACTCGAGCCGTTCTTAAGTCAAGACCCCACTGTATATCAAGGTATTAAAACAGTAAACAAACCAATATGAACATATTGTTTGTTTGTTTAGCTTATATGTTTATAAAACCATAAAGATCAATACAGCACTTTTCACAAAGAAGGGTTTCTCACCTCTCCTCAAGCTGGTTCCTTCTCTGCTACTAAACAAAAACTCAGAACATTTGCTGGACATTCTAAAACAATAACACCCCACACATTGGATTGTTAATTTCAAGGAGGTGGGGAAACAGTCTAATATAACTTTTCAGTCGTGTGTTTTTAACCTTGAGTACTAAGTGCACTGTAAAACCAACTCTTCTAGATGACAGCACAAATCCCCTCTAGCTATACTGGCAAAGTGACTTAACTAAAATTTCATACAGGAAGTAGGGTTAGGATGGGAAGGGAAAGAAACTCACATTCTTTTCTCCTTCAGTGACATAGACTTCATAGCAATATGCCAGAAGTATATCAGCAAGGCTCAAACATACTTGTTGACAGGTTCTTTTGTCAAGCAGAAACGTTCTGTTAGTGAATTTTCTCAGCTGTTCTTTCTCGTCTTCTGTAAAAGAAACTAAAAACAAAAAGGTTATTCTAAACAACCCATATTCATAACCACACTAAACACACACTCACACAAAGATGGTATTGATGAGAACCTTCTTTGACCAAAACCTAGAATTATTCCTGTGTTAATTTCAGAATTAACCACTTGTTTTCTGCAGCACTTCATTGCCTGTTACATTTCAATAAACAGGTTCCTTAGGACTGAGTAGGAATTGGGATGATATACAGGGGAACAGAAGGAAGGACAGATCCTAAAGCTGAGGCTCCAATATTTTGACCATCTCATGAGAAGAGAAGACTCCCTGGAAAAGACCCTGATGTTGGGAAAGTGTGAAGGCAAGAGGAGAAGGGGACAACGGAGGATGAGATGGTTGGACAGTGCCACCGAAGCTACCAGCATGAATTTGACCAAATTCTGGGAGGCAGTGGAAGATAGGAGGGCCTGGCGTGCTCTGGTCCATGGGGTCACGAAGAGTCAGACACGACTTAACGACTAAACAATAACAACAGGGGAAACAGTTTAATCATCCCAGTGTTCCTACTAGAATACACAGGAAAGATTTCTGCTTGGTAACACTGAAAGTGTTAAACTTAATTCATAGCCACCTCAGATATATGAAGCCAAACTGCAGTTGCTGCACAAGCAATTAACAAGCATGGTTTGCAAGAAAGAATTTCTTAGACAGATTATTAATGCAAATGTTTCAGATTTTTAAGATACCATTTCAATATTCAGCCTACTCACTGTGGGAAACCAGATAGGCGTTATATCACTTATAGCACTGTTGTAACCTAGACTTTCTGGATTAGATTATGCAGTCCAAAAAACATATCTCCTCAGATTCCAACCCACCCACCACCCACCGACATCATTTCTAGCGCTTCAGGGTTTTTTTCCACACCAAAGAAAAAGGCAGCAAACTAAGTTTTTCATTCAACACTTCCCTTCCATGTATGATCAATCTACTCTGCATGGTTGCCAGAATGGGAAGGCCATCATGAATCTGTAGTAATGTACAAAGTGACAATATGACTCCCCTCTTATCCAGCACTTCCAACTTTGCACAATCGTTTTAGTGGCCCTAAAAGTAGGATCTTTTCCACCTGCCCCCAATTATCGTGCCTGTACACCAGGGTGGATCTGATTTAAATTAAACTTATTTAAATCATGTTTTAAATAAAGAAATTTGGATTTTTTGATAATTTAAATTCAAAAATCTTTTTAAATGTAAAAATAATTCATTTTAATCCACCCTGCTGTACACCAAGTGGTTCCGCCTGATGTACAAACGAAATTAAGAATATCTTCTTGAAACAACAGAAGTTACTTTACTGGACCCAAATCGGGTGTTGTTAAACAGAAACATTTTCAAAAGTGAGCATATAGAGCTTGGAGCTAATATTAAAATCAGAAGTTCTAGCAACAATAATTAAGTTATTTAATTTTAACTTGATTGAGATAAGGAGGAAGTGTGACAGATGACATATTCTGATCCAAGAAAGTCTAGAAGTCTCTGGAGTTTGGCATGTGCACGTGTTCTGAATCAGGCATCTTGGTTTTTCAAAATAAAGTTATTTAAAAACAGATCAAGAGATTTCTTTCATCACCTGTTTTCAGTAGAGTATGTGATTCCATACTTATCCAATGTCTAAGCTGAAAATAAATCTATAAACATTTTCCCTAAAAGTTAAATATATGCATGTTTCAGGGTTGGAGAAATTTCACTGCAGTTTTAGGTGAAGTTTATTTAAGTTAAATGTTTTTAAATTGTTTTAACCTTGGTTTTTAATCCTAATACTGTATATGCTTAATTGTTTTAATAAATAAATAAATAA